TAGTTTAATTTAAGTTCAGTAATAAAGAGCAGCTGTTCAAATAACACCAACTAAGGCCGAAACCATAAAAAAAACGAGAGTAAAATATTCTCAGTCAACTAATTCATTTATTGTGAGTTTATTCACAATCAGTACAGTAATATATTTGCACAGACGGACAATTTATGGTCTTTAGAAACAATTTCCAGATATATGGTCATTCCTAAATAACATATAAATACAAGAACATGTACTAAGTAACTCTATTCGGAAACGGGTCCGATCCCAAGACCGACTTCGACCCTAATAGAGTGTTAGACGCGTTAACGAGTAAAATGACTACCGTTTCTACATTAGAAGCATACGTTCTAATATCATTGAAATCACACAGATAACCTCATTATGCCGTGTTTAAGCCCATGGTACTTGACGCATATATTAGCAACAATTCATATGAGAAAGTCAAGAAATCACACAAATACGTTCAACTAGGCAAGTTTCTCGTGGTGGCGCGGTGACTTTCCTTTCCTCACCGCGATAACATCAGGCTATTCGCGCCCCATCCTAACTACTTACCATACATCTATGTACATAGATTACTTAGTGCAAAAAATTGCATTTTGGCACGCAAAAAAATGAGAAATTCTTATACTGTACTACCGGTTTTTTAAGCAATGCTATATTACAACGTACCATTGTTTAACATAATATAGCGTTGCAGTGGTTGCTATAGTGATGCGTCCTGTGACTGTCTCTCTCGCGAAAAACTTTCACTTCATTTCTAACCACACCTGCCATCAGAAATACGTACTGCATATATCCGTATTTCGCGTTTTTAACAATACAGTAAACACCCGCATAAAAGAACCCGTGGTTTTAAAAACCTCCAGGCTGAAATTGGACCAATAAAGCACCTATTATATAAGAACCTCTTCAGCCTGATAAATTAAACAGGTTAATTCTTATATAAAAAAAAAATACCGAAAATTAGAGCAAACTGGGGTAATCCAAGTATGTGTGCTACACCATTGGAAACCAACAACATGTAGTTCCAGATATAATATCAGATAATATTAATACCTCCTCACAGAAGGATTGGATTTTCCAGGGGGTATTTTGCCTCATTTTCCAGTAAATGTTGGGGCTTGTTTTTGACGATACAGAGGATTGAGGGAAAGGATGGTGTGAATATTTTCTGCAACTATACAATATTGTATAGTACGATAATGTACACAATACCCCCCCCCCAAATTAAGAACCTCTTTAAGAACCTCTTCAGGCTGATTTCTCACTATGTACCATATATATAAGAACCACTTCAGCCTGAAACAGAAAATCACGGGTTCTTTTATGCGGGTGTTTACTGTACACGTCACCACCACCCTCGACGTCTGTCAAACTTATAGCACACGATGTCTATCTATCGCCAGCTCTTCTTTCACGAGCGGAATCCCAATATTTATTGCTGGAAGCTTTCTCTCTTGAAAACGTCACCCGAAATTCTACGAATTCTGGATTTGCTTTCAAATATACTAACGCAAGCACACGCACATAATTACGTAATACTTCGCATTTAACTTAATTAAATGATAGCCACCACGTACAGGCTTCAAAGTAGACGATGAGAGGCAAGGGACATGCTAAATGACTAGGGGCACCACCTCCCCCTTCTAACCGCGCCCCTGAAACACTTCTCTCACGTTACTGTGAGCAACTGTGCGCAACTGTGTGCAACTGTATAGTAACAAAAGCATTCAACTCTTTCAGTCGGTAGCCGCATTTAATCACAGGGCAGAATCTTGTCAACATGCCGCAACACGCTACATCGCTTCAGCATCTTCTATGGTTACCATGGCAATCCTACGACTACGTAAAGCTGACCAATTGGCTGGCGTCTAATGATAACACCAGGAGTGAATAATAATAGTTATATTATTGTAGATATCTATTATTATTATTCACGCCTGATAACATCAGCAACCCGTCAGAAATGAATTATATTTAGCGGCAAATTTGGCAGTAAAAGACAGCCGGACATTAACAGAGGATGCACTGAAAACATTCGGTATGTGTAATATGCGATACTATTTCGAACATTCTCGCGCTATTAACCTCGTCTCATTGTTCTTCAGGAGTCTGCACATCTGGATGTGATCTCCTTTCTAGCCTGATGTTAACTACTGAGGCTACACAACAGCAGAGTCACCAATAAAACACATCATGCAGTCACATGATTACTAACTGCATAGTACTGCATGTCAACCGACCTGAATTATTCAAGTCAAGTTCAACAATAATTACGATTGTGGTCATATATCAGGAACATATAACAGCGTTACATGTAACTCGGGTTACGGAAACGGAGATAGGCACCGCCCTATGTGCCACATAGGCACGGGAAGGATTTAACTTAACTTAACTATAACAGCATTCGGAGATGCGTTAATCTGCCCACCTACCTACAAAGGTGAACCGTACAACGTACTACAAGGACAGACAGTGAGAAAACGAAAGAGTTAGTGTCAGGTAATCACACTAACACTACTAACACACCTACCTCATTTTGACAAACATTGACCGGATCCCATACAAACGTACACAGACAACACGGGAATGTAGGAACTACGCGTATCTTCTGCTTTACGATGTCCTGCACTTCGTGAAATATGAACGATACTTGATATAAAAAAAATCCGATGGCGCGATTAGAGGTAAATGCTAGCATCGAACATAATACTAGCAAAGATTACACGAAACAGCGATAAAAAAATGCGGATACAATGTATTTCACAATACTCTCGTTGATAGTCACGTTGTAATACTTAATTATACCTGCTTCAACTTCACGTAGTGCTAATTAACAGGTAAACATGAACCGTCTGCTAATAGAATCAAGAATCACGAGAGCTGCAGACAATATTGCACTCGTTTGAGTTAGTTAAATTAACATGGTCCTATGAAAGAACGGTTTACGCACAAATGTCATTGCCATTCGAATCACACATTCTGGACATATTTGCACTTATCCTAAATGGACGTATGGAAGGGAGTCTTAAACAAACCTCCTTAACAAAAAACTCTTTTCTTAAAAACGCATTTCTTATACAAAAATACTATCAAGAATATCACCTAGTTATAAATTGAAAATAGCCCAATGTATTTTAGTTCGCATAAATCAACAGGAATAGTGGTAGGGACATCTACCAAGCCGAAGCAATCGCGTGCGTGCGTTGCCACATACGTCACACTAACAGTTACGCTCTCACAATAATTCATTATAGCAAGAACAGCATGACAACACCGAAAAAAACTAACTGTAACTCATTAACATTTTTTCACTACTTTTCAACAATACTACGAAGTCCCCTCCCTTGTGCGCACTAAAAAATTTAGTCCTTGCTTGTTGTGCACTGACCAAGTCTGTGGAAAACTAAAAATATCAATCAGTTGACCGTCGCTAGCATATACACAGTGCTCCATGGTCCATGTGTGAACCGGAATGGTAGCAGGAAATGTTCGTTCACCTCTATGTACTACAACCTTAGTCCACAGTTCCGCATACTTCATAATAACATGCTGTAGGCCACATGAACATCCATCACGACATGGTCAAAATTATCACACTTCCTATTCCAAATGCACTTTGCACACTTCCCGGCGCCTCTGACTCACCGTCCCCACCGTTAAAACGTGGTTCTTTACATTACACATACTTGGCAAGACGCAATTGGATCTGCACACTTAAACTACTCAGCGAAGCATGGATAATCTGTTCATTACGTTCATCGTTTCTGGACAGGGTAAATTACATTACGATCGTGATTTACAATAAATAAGGCCCTTATAAATAAGTGTACCTGACTTTGTAAATGCGACCAACTATCATAATCATACGTGATACTTGCAACAGACTAGTGATGCATTGCTCACCAGCTCTATTACATATTTATCTGTTCAGGAAGACAATGCGATCGGTATTTGACAATGGCATGAGTTGGAATTTGCCTTGCGAAATTATACCGTGCACATTACGATCCCATCAAATGTACAGCACTGGCCCTTCGTAACGAATGAATTTCAATTACGTTTAAACTGTCCGATTTTGTTCCATGGCTAGTCGTAATATTTTTACGACAATCAAGCAGAAGAGGATGAAGTAGTTTCGATCCATCCAACTACAGCATTCCTCCATGCAACATTGCAAGAAGCACCATCGCACTGTGATTGCATAATGACTACGTACTCTTTATTGCAGGTGGTTTCTCATTCCAATGCAACACTCACATGTAGCCTAATGTTGATAAAAATTCTCACTCAACCTATCACTTATCACGTCGGCCCGCTTTAGAAACGTGCAACTTGTATCAGAGCATAGATTCATTTCAACAATTCTCATTTTCATAAGGAAATGCTGGAATTTACGGAAGTACTCGGGGGGAATGCTACCATATTGTTTCCTCGGTTTTTGGAACCTAAAAACACCAAACGCTACCAACGACGACTACAAAATAACCCGTCGGTCACAGATCCGTAAATCCCGCGCCCGATGCATGGTGACTGCCCGCGACGGCACCTCCCCATTGTTAAAACGAATAAATTAAGACAATTTCATAACACGCTCGCTTCGAGACGCCCCCTTCCCTCCCTCCCTGATTCTGTACCACCAAACAGCATGCCCACCCTTTCCTTCCCTCCCCGACACTATGATGACAACCTCCATGCGCCTCGCAGGTGCAGGTGCAGGACCTCAGGTGAGGAGGAAGAGGGAGGAGGAGGACGAGGGAGAGAAGGGAAAAGCAGGGAGGAGGAGGGAGCAGGAGAAGAAGGAAGGGAGGGGAGGAGGAAGGAGGGGGATGAGGAAGAGGGAGAGAGGGAGGGAGGACGAGGGAGAGAAGGGAGAAGCAGGGAGGAAGGGGAGGGAGAGGAAGAGGCGGAGCTGGAGGACGGAGGAGAGGAGGGAGAAGGAAGGGGAAGAGGGAGCAGGGAGAGGGGAAGAATGAGAAGAGGAGGGAGGGAGGAGGTGTAGGACCTCAGGTGAGGAGGGACAGGAAGGAGTAGGAGGAGGAGGGGAAGAATGAGAGGAGGGAGGAGGAACGGAGTAGCAGCAGGACCTCGGGTAAGGAGGGAGGGAGGAGGGAGCGTGAAGGAAGGAGGAGACTACTCGACCAGATCTCTCTTCGTCGGTGGCACTAGGTGGTCAGGCAGCGTGTTCGGTAGCGGGTTGTCATCGAGCCGCACCTTGATGAGGTGGTTTGCTAGCGCCCACTCGTAGTCGTCCAGCATCCCATCCTTGTCAACGTCGGCCAGCTTCCAGATCTTGCCGAGCACCGAGTTGGGCAGCTTCGAGCGGATCATCTCCTGCTTGGCGGCGGCGCCCGTCACCTACAAGCATGAGAACAGGTCGAGATGTTTTTGGAGGAAATATTTAAATTCAAGAAACATTGCATAGTATGCTGTCCTGCTAGGGGGGGGGGGGTCTGGGGGCATGCACCTAGGAGATTTTTGAAATTTGGAAGTGCAGATAGACCATTTCCATGCATCCTTGGAATAATTGGGGGGAATTGCAAGTTCATTCTGTTCTTAGTAAAAGGCCAATTTCATGACTAACAATTCAAAGTCTTGTCATTTTGTAGGAACCATTGAGTCCATTGTCACCGAGTTGCCGTACGGGTGAGAATAGGGTAAAACCCTTTACATTACATACATACACCGCGATATTTATCTGGAGTCCCGGTACTCCTGCGTGAAATTCGACGGAATTTTCCGGACTTTTTACGAAGTTTAAAATTAAAAATGGCATTCATTTTGACAAGAAAAGTACACCTTACCCCCCCCTCAAATTTTTAGTTTTTTTGCATCGATATCAAGAACGACCAAAATGAAAACCGACACCCGGAAATCCGCGAATCTGCGGGAAATTCTCGTGCCGTCACCTTGCCGTCGACGGGGTTCAGCCGCTGGAACGTCTCGTCGTAGTTTGGTTTGTCCTTCGCGACGATCCAGTCCGCGTCATCGCGGCCGGCGTCGACGCCCTCGCCGCTGCCCATGGTGAACGGCGAGTTCTCGGCGCCGCCGAACGCGCCCGCGTGGATCGTCTGTAAGAAGAATGACGAGGAACAACGATGAGGAACAATGCCGAACGCGCCCGCGTGGATCGTCTGCAAGAACAATGACGAGGAACAACGATGAGGAACAACGCCGAACGCGCCCGCATGGATCGTCTGCAAGAACAATGACGAGGAACAACGAAGAGGAACAATGCCGAACGCGCCCGCGTGGATCGTCTGCAAGAACAATGATGAGGAACAACGATGAGGAACAACGCCGAACGCGCCCGCATGGATCGTCTGCAAGAACAATGACGAGGAACAACGATGAGGAACAATGCCGAACGCGCCCGCGTGGATCGTCTGCAAGAACAATGACGAGGAACAACGCCGAACGCGCCCGCGTGGATCGTCTGCAAGAAGAATGACGAGGAACAACGATGAGGAACAATGCCGAACGCGCCCGCGTGGATCGTCTGCAAGAACAATGACGAGGAACAACGATGAGGAACAATGCCGAACGCGCCCGCGTGGATCGTCTGCAAGAACAATGACGAGGAACAACGATGAGGAACAATGCCAAACGTGCCGGCGTGGATCGTCTGTAAGAACAATGACGAGGAACAACGAAGAGGAACAATGCCGAACGCGCCCGCGTGGATCGTCTGCAAGAACAACAATGAAGAACAATACTACGCTACAAAGAACAACGCCGAACACGCCCGCGTGGATCGTCTGCAAGAACAACAACGAAGAACAGCGCTACTCTACTGCGACACGGCCTCACGTCCGAGAAGGGTAACAACGCTTAGAATCTTTCCTTGTGTGCTCATGTGGATCGTCTGCCAGAGCAACAATGAGGAACAATGCCGAACACACCCGCATGGATCGTCTGCAAGAACAACGACAAAGAACAATGCCAAGCACGCCCGCGTTCACGTCTAAGACGTACAATAATGACAGCGTGCCATCCTTACGGAAGCGAACGACAAGCCGCTCGTTCTTACCGGAGGGTTGATCTCGGCCGAGGCGAGGGAATCTTCCTTCGGAATGAGCGCCATCAGCTGCGCGACATCGGTCGCGAGCATCGAGTCGACGGCTTCAAGGAGACGCGGCCGCAGCGAGTGGAACTTGCTGAAGTCCATGTCCTTGAGCTGCTCGCGCATGCGGTTCACGTCCGGGAAGTCTCCCGGCGAGATCTGGTACTCTCGCTGAATCTGGGAAGACGCGTGAATTACGTGAAAGCAGGGGGAAACCAGTGGGAAACCAGTGGGAAACCAGGGAAAAGCCAGTGGGAAACCAGGGAGAAACCAGGGGGAAACCAGGGGAAAACCAGTGGGAAACCAGTGAGAAACCAGGGGAAAGCCAGTGAAAAACCAGTGGGAAACCAGTGGGAAACCAGTGGGAAACCAGTGGGAAACCAGTGGGAAACCGGGGGAAAGCCAGTGGAAAACCAGGGAAAACCCATTGGGAAACCAGTGGGAAACCAGGACCCGGTGTGATGCAGAAACATAAGGGAAATACTGAAGAAGGAAGTTGTTGGTAGACGTCGGGGAAGATTCCAGGAGATGTCTGGTACTGGCGCTGAATCTAGGGGGAATACAGAATATAGAACATATAGAATATAGACATAGGCGGAATCATGAAGAAAGGAATCATCTAATCTGTAGACATCGGGGTAGAGTCCGGGAGATGTCTGGTTATCGCGCTGGACCCGCGAAGACGCATAAATTACGTGTAGTAACAGTAGTTAGTGAGGCCAAGGGAAAACCAGGACCTGATCACTCCCGGGAAAACCGGAGCAGTGATGCAGAGACAGAGGGAATATTGGAAAAGGGCATCGTCGGCAGACGTCGGAAAAGTCTCCGGGCGAGATCTGGTACTCCTGCTGGATCTGGGAAGATGCGTGAATGATGTAAGATCTGGGGAACCAGAACCGGAGTGATGCAGAGCGATTCACGTTCAGGAAGTCTCCCGGTGAGATATGGTATTCACGCTGAATCTAGGGGGAATATAGAATATAGAATATATATAGAATATAGACATAGGGGGAATATTAGAGGAGGGAATCATCTGTAGACATCGGGGAAGTCACATGCGATTCACGTCGGGGAAGTCTCCGGGCGAGATCTGGTACTCCCGCTGCATCTAGGACGACGTGTGAATTACATGAGAGCATGGGAAACCAGGGGAAAACCAGGACCCGAGTGATGCAGACATAGGGGGAATACTGGAGAAGGAAATTGTTGGTAGACATCGGGGAAGTTTCCGGGAGATGTCTGGTACTGGCGCTGGATCTGGGAAGACGTGTAAATTACGTGAGAGCAGGGGAACTGGGAACCGCTTGCTGTAGAAATCGGGAAAGTTTCCGGGAGATGTCTGGTACTCCCGCTGAATATGGGAAGATGCGTAAATAATGTAAGAGAACAAAGACTGGGACCTGCGTACTGCCAAAGAGTGGTGGAAGTCACTCGGAGCCATCAGGGAACTATCCCGGAGATGTCTGGCGAATACGCTGAATCTGGGAAGATACGTAAATAATGTGGGGATGGAAACTGGGATCTGGACGGCACCGCAGAGTGATGCAAGGCACCAGGAACCCTCAGAGAATTCTCTGAGAAAGATCTCATACTCGCGCCAGATCTGGGAAAATAAGCAGTGATAAAAAAGGAGGAAAACAGGGTGTGATATCATTGTTGCGGAGGGGTGCGAGAAGGCTAGGGTAATCTGGGAAGTCTGCTGACACGATCTGATATTCGCACTTCATCTGGGAAAACACACCACAGATGTGTGTGAGGAGGTGGGGCCTTTCTGCATAGGGATAGGATACAGCCAGGAATGTTGGGGGAAAACTCCCGGCAACACCACAAAATATTACTTAAGCAACCCTAATTTAACCAGTTACATAGAAACTTATGATGATCTAGTTCTAATATATAGTAGACATTTTTAATAAGTTTTTCTCGTCTTTCTAACATGCCGAAAACATGCGGATTTTCATGTTATCTTAATACATGGGTTTCAAATGCAATAGACGTAATAGTAGTAGCAAAACTATACGACTACTAGTACTAGGTTTGACACATAGCCACTTGAACACAGACGAGCTCGTACATTGTCCTACGAACACTCATACATAAAACATGCACCCACAGACATGCAAACACGCGCATTTACAGTTGCACAAACAGACAGACACATTCCAAAATCACTACTACAAAGGCACTGGTGGCAGTCGGCTACACACACATCTGACATCACTATAATTAGACCCAGATGTGGGAGGCAGGGAAATTCACACACTGCTATATAATGGACAACTACTGTATACAGACATGTGTAACAGCATGCTGCTTCCTTCACATACGAAACGTTTCATAGCAATCATAAAGCTCACTGCTGGGGCCACACTTAAACTGTCCATTAAAATTATTAAAACTATTAAAACCATTAAAACTATTAAAAACTGTCCATACTCTGTTTTTAAAGTGATAGTGTCAGGACACGATATCAAAACATGTCAATCCAGTGCTTAGACATAAGCTTCCTACTGCTACAGCCAAGGACGTGAAAAACAAAGTTGCGGTCTCCATAGCTTTTCGTCCATATCTAGGACTACAATATTTGTGCAGAATTCAGTTCATGCAAACATTTTCCCCTTCTCCACACGTTTTCTACTCCACATTCTTAATATATATCATGTAAGATTAGATCGATGGGAAGTTACCTGTGCAAATGTTTGATCGAGCCCTTTAATCAGCTCCTTCTTCTTGTTGTCCTTACCAAACATTGCAGGCATCTGGTTTTTCAATGAACTAATGATGTATGCTTGGACCTGTAACACATAATTAAATGACAGATGTTTCCACTAGTGTGAAAATGATCTATGACTAAGTCTCAGCAGGGGTTAATAATGAGAAATTTGTCATTATTGACGCCTGTGTCAGTGCATTCTGTTGTACAGGCATTAATGGCTTAATAGGCATGCTAACCAAACTTCCAAAATCAGCCTCTTTGAAACACAGCCAAACACCCACGCCTAAATGCATGGCAGGTCAATGACACGTGCAACCAAACAGCATAATTCAGGACGCGTGTTTGCAGGAAAGCACCCACACAAATGACACAAACAAGATATTTGCTGTGCAAGTACTGTGAGTTCCTGCCCCTGTGTCGGATGGGATTCTTGGCACAGGAGTCTCAGAGTGAGCGTGTTACACTTTTGCCGGCCGCAGACTGAATGCAATGTCACGAGCTGCAGAATAAACTCATCGTACCTTCACTAGCCGCAGAACAGCACATTATACCTTTGCGAGTTGCAGAACGAACATACATTAACATACAGAACACGTCACGCATTTGCGAACTGCGGTACAAACACGGCGTACCTTTGCGAACTGCGGAACAAGCACGTCGCACCTTTGCATACTGCAGAACAAACACCTCGTACCTTCGTGAACCGCAGAACAAATGCGTCACCCCTTCGCGAACCGCGGAACAAATGCGCGCGTCGTACCTTCGCGAGCCGGGCGCGTTTGATGAGGTCGTTGAGTTTGCGCAGCGCCGTGTTGCGTGGCAACGTCTGCAGGTCCTTGAACAAATCCTGGTGTTCGGCCTCGAACAACCGCCGATTCGCGTCGTAGTGCAGCGGCTGGTCCCAGAACGAGCCGACGTAGACGCGCGTCACCTCGGGCGTGTTGATGATCTTCCCCAGCGACCACATCAGCGCGCCGTACACTCGCATCAGCTGCTGGTGGTCGACGCGATCGGCCTTGTTCAGCACGATTCGGATCTTCTCGTCGTGTCCGCGCAGCGCCTCGATCGATCGCCGAAACTCGTCCGAGATGTCGAGCTTGTGCGCGTCGAAGAGCAGCACGATGCGATCAACGCGCTCGGCGAACCACTCGAGCACGCCCGTGAAGTCGTAGCCGCGGTCGACGCGGTGCTTCTCACCGGAGAGGATCCCCGGCGTGTCGACGAGCGTCAGCGATTTCAGGACGGCGTTGTCGATCGTCGACGCCTGGAACTTGTTGAGGAACGCGTTGCCGAACTTGGAGAGGTGCTTGAACTGCCGATTTGGGTCGACGACGAGAGCGTTGCCCGGGATCTGGTTCTCGTGCTCGTCCCACATGAGAACCATGAAGCGATCGGTCGTCGGCTCCGGGCCGATGCGGATCCCGGGGAATTCCTGCTCGAGTAGGTACCTGCAGAACAGAACCCAAGCATAGTTAAGCTGTCTGTCGTGAGCGAGAACCGTAAAGCGGTCGGTCGTCGGCTCCGGACCGATGCGGATCACAGGGGAATTCCTGCTCGAGTAAGTACCTGCGGAATGGAAAGTAACGCCAAGAGTGTAACGTCAACAAGCAATCGAGCTTGTACAAGATTGTAGCAATCGATCGTATCCAACAAGCAAGTACCTGCGAGACGCAACGAGCAGAGACATGAGGAAGCATTCGTCCGCATCGTTTTTGCGCCCGCGGATCATTCTTCCTTATCCTATATTAGCACATTTTATATAGCATTTACGCCATCCCAGGATGCCGGATTTGAACAATGTCTATAGGATTCAGTACCCCGGATTAGTTTAGCACATACGTGAAAACACATTTGTGGGGTCCAAATGCTGGAGACGTGAGGAAGCAACATTCGCCAATATCGGTTTTTTTTCAGATAATTTTTCTCTTTTATTCACGATCGCGTTTTGTCGACTTTATATCATGCTAGGATGCCAGATTTGGATGCTGGCTATTATGCCATCCTAGGATGACGGATTTGGATGCTGGCTATTATGCCATCCTAGGATGACGGATTTGGATGATGGCCATTACGCCATACTAGGTTTGGACGATGGTCATATAGGATTCAGTAAGGATTAGGTGTGGAATACACAATGACATTGTCATTGGCATTGCCACCCGGCAAATACGCGACAATCCGCCATGCAACAGACTCTGAAGACAAGAGCAAATATATGAGTTTCTTAATTTATTGCTTGCTTGACTAGTTGCAATAGCTTCCAGCAACATGCCCGATTGAGTAATTTTTTGTATGGAGGTTTGTTCGCTGGCCTTTGCCGGGTGGTAATGTCTGTCCGAAAGTATACAGACTAACCGGCAGCAGTTCAACACAGCAATGATTTACAAGTATTTATACTTAATGAACGTTGTTTTCCCCGTTGAGTACTGTCCAACCAACAATATCATCGGCTTGGCATCAAAATCCGGGTCGGTGAGTGCAGGCGAATGAAAATCATGAAAATTGTACGTTTCCTCTAGAGGCAATATTCTGGTTTTGTATAATTGTCTCAGTCCTGCATACACATTGTCATAAACCTCCGGCGGCTTGTCTGATCTTCCAAACAACTTCATTGTGGAAGTGTTTATTTGCACTTATCTATTTAAGAAACAACAATTAAACAGAGTTAGCCCTAATAATGAGTTAGCCTAATAATATGATGGGAAACTCCCTGTTGTAGAAACGTCACGTTAAAAACTTTTTCATTTGACGCAGCGCCATCTACTGAGTAGCCCAATGTCGACGTTTAACACGAGAAGTGCCTAGAGATGGCGACAGCTTCGGCAAGATAAACAGAAGCACAGCAGGAAAATGGGAAAGTGTATTCTTTTCGTGGCAATTTTTGTTAGATATTGCTAATATTAAATCGTCTGGCTCATACTTTACATTATATAACTATAGGAACCCATGCCTGATCCACAGCGCATGTAAGTATGATGTCAATGATGTTTATCTAACTATATTACAGCGTAGTGTGGTGATATGTTTTTCTTTGTGTGTTTCTGAAAACAGAACACAACTTGTTAATGTTAGGCCTACTGACGCTCATAGGGTCTATGTCCCCCAGGGTACTGCCGGAACGTACCCTGGGTACGGTCCGGTATACCAGAACGTACCCTGGTCACTATTTGATATGGTTAGGGTTAGGATTAGGGTTAGGATTAGGGTTGGTGTTCGGGTTAGGGTTAGGGAGTAGGCGTAGGCGACTACCTACACTCGTTAGTGGAGTAGGCGAGGTACGGTACGGCATATTAGACAGTACCAGGTTACGTTCCGGTATACCGGACCGTACCTAGGGTACGTTCCGGCAGTACCCCGGGGGACATAGACCCTCTCAGCCCTACTGACAGTACTGTGTACTACTACTGTGTTCTACATTACTGTTTACTGTGTACTGTAGTTGTATCTTGTATCTTGGGGTTCCTCTCTTGTATTTCACAAGGCACTGATTCTCTCTTTGGAATGTGAGGGGAATTTATTCTTTATTCTTCTTCTTATTCCTTCTTATTTCTTATTCTTGTTCCTTCTTCTTATTTCTTATTCTTATTCCTTCTTCTTATTCCTTCTTCTTATTCTTATTCTTATTCAGCAGTCAGTTCAGGTAGTCAGCCTTTAGCCAAATGGCACTGAGGGTGGTCACAGCCAGAGTTCCTTTTGCGCCCTCAGTGGTTCTTTTATGTCCCTATTGGCTAGTATTTCTGGAGACGGGACCGCTATTTTACGTGGTCATCCGAGCCACAGGAGATTCACAGTCTCCAATGTTGAGAGCCAGGTTTTTACACCTTGAGAAAATTCACTGCCCTGACCGGGGTTTGAACTCGCAGCATTCAGTGGACAGTGCACGATGCCTACCACTGGGCCACAGAGGCTCTCCCTAACTTGCAAGTGTTACTGTTAATTAGTGTTATTGACTTTCAGGACTAACTTACGCTGATAGGGTCTATGTCCCCAGGGTACTGCCGGGAGGGGTCATACCTATGTGTCCCGGTACCTATGTGTCCCAGTACCCAGGTACCTATGTGTCCCGGTA